ACAAGTTGATTAAAGTGACTTGATGCATTTGGAGTTATTCATATTTGATTAATGGAATCAAGTCACATGCTCAAGATGGCTATGCTCAAGTGACAAGATCAATATTGACATATTGGCACCCTCACTTGATGAAGATTGAAAGACACGGCATCAATTTAAAAAAGATCAACTCAAAAGGTTTAATTTCATTTTTCTTTTGATCTTGAGTTAATAGGTATGCCGTACTATTAAGAGGGATGCAAGTTTAAGTGGTCTGAGGAAGATAGAGTGCTCAAGCATAATAATTAAATCAAAAGAGAGACACTCTAGCACTTCACGAGCACATAGAATAATTTTGTGACTGTCGATGTCGGAAGTCCCGACGTAAGCCGGAACTCCCGACAGTCGGAAGTCATGACTCTTGACAGAACTGCTGACTCCCAGTCATAGCCTGTGCGGTGACTGTGGACGTCGAAAGTCCCGACGTGAGTCGGAACTCCCAACAGTTGGAAGTCCCGACCCAAGCCGGGAGTCCCGGCATCGATGGTTCTACTGACCTACTGTCTGTGCCCGTCGGAAGTCCCGACGTTCATCGGAAGTTCCGACTGTCGAAAGTCCCGACCCATGTCGGAAGTTCCGACGTTGGTTGTCTCGTGTGGACTTTGACCTCGCGTGAACAGTGTTTTCTTCTTACATCGGAAGTCCCGAGATCTGCGTCGGAACTTCCAACGTAGATCTGAACGGTTAGATTTTGCCTTGGAGTATATATACCCCTCTCCTTCCTTCTAACCGTTGCCCACTCATTTCATTGCGACGAACACTCGGCCAAAACAGCCCCCAAGCATTCTAGGCTCACCACTCTTCACTCCTTTGCTTCCAACTTCAATTCCTAAAGGGTTTGAGTGTTTGGAGAGTGGATTGAGAGAGAAAATCACTTTGAGCAAGCTTGAGCACTTGATTTCTTCATCAAGCCGGTTTGATTTGCATTTGTTACTCTTGGGGATTTTCCCTTAGCCGGCTAGGCGTCGCCCAAGAGCTTCCATCTTGTGGAAAAGCCTTGGAAAGTTTGTATTACCCTTGATTTCTAGTGAAGAAACTCAAGTGACCTTTGTGGTATCCTTGAGTGAGGCAAGGAGGTGGAAGAGACTCCGACCAAAGTGGTCACCTCAACAACGAGGACGTAGGAGCCCATTTGTGAGGCTGCCGAACCTTGGGATAAATTCTTGTCTCCCGTGTGCTTGTTGTTGTTGTGATTTGCTCGAAATTACTTGTATTTGGTTGTCTCCCTCTCTCTAGCTATTTCTTAGGGTTTGGGACTCGATCTACGGAGTGGTGGCTTATCAATGTCAAGAGAGTGACCCAACACCTTACCTTACCACTAGGAAGTGGGTTTGTAAGTTATCGGCATCACAAAGTTCATTTTAGCACTTGTAATTCATTTCCCGTTTGCGTCAGAAGTTCTGACCCAAACGTCGGGACTTCTGACACGTCGGAAGTTCTGACCCAAACGTCGAGACTTCCGACATTAACTGACTAGTGCATTTTGATTCAACTCCTTGGTTGCAGCTGTTTGGCTCCCTAGGTTTATCTAGTATCTTTTATATACTTTGTGGATAACTTGTGAGGGGTGGTATTACTCTGATTTAGAGTTTCCATTTTGGAAACTCCTATTACTAATCATTTCCATTTTTAAAGGTGTTGATTTTTTAGAAACGCCTATTCACCTCCCCTCTAGGCGGCATCCTAGGTCCTTTCACCTCTCCCTCTAGACGACCCTCCGGACATTGGTACTTTGCCGAAAGGAAAATACTAGTTGGGAAGTAAGTAGCAATGCATCCAATATTATGATATATAGGTGGAGGCGGGTTTAGTTGCCGTTTCAATGTGTTATAACCGGTCCCAAGAAGCCTAATTAGTTTCAATCGAAAAGCCTATTTCAATGGACACCTGAAAAGCTTAGATTCGTTTCCTAAAACTCTATTCATCGTTGACATGATAAATCACTAAAAAGCCTAGATGCTATAGGTGTACTATGTAAGTGAAGTGATAAATCGCTCTTTGTCATCGTACTCCTCGTCCTTGTAACTGAAAAGTCTATTTTCATTGTCTGAAAAGCCTAGATTCGTTCACTATTACTGAAAAGTCTAGATTCATCTGCAAATCGTCTGTACGATACGATTGAACTATACACATTCTAATGAATTTATATTTAATCTGTGTACTACATTTGTGCCTTTTTAGCAGTGTAGTATAATTAATGATTCACAGAAAAAATTCGCAAGAGTTTCCCTTGTTTCAGGAGCATCCATAGTTACAAACAGAGACATCATTATATAATCCAAACATTTAATCATCCAAATAGCACAATACAACCACATCGAATATCACAATCAACATAACATGTCATGCATAGTCCAAATAGTCCACAATGTCCATACAGTCCCAAATAGTTATAGGAAAGTAACTACATATTATCCAAATCTCCACACATGCAAAATAAGCAAAGTCCATGCAGCCCAAATAGTTGTGGCATCGAATCAAAGTTGGTAGCATAGTCTTAACCTACAAGTCATCGTCACTGCCTCCTAGTCTTACCCTTACCCTTATGGCCAAGAGCTTCGGTGCTTGAAGTGTGCTTACAAGGCGGACGGCGTCGTCTCATTCCTGCAACCTGCGTAGGCTCAGTCGAAGGCATGTACGTGAATTATGTCCAAGTCTACCACATTTGCCACATTGGTTCTACTCAGGGTCAGTAAGAAAGAGGGTTGCTCTCCCTCACCTCGTTCTACCAGAAACCTAGTCCATGATCATCTTGTGCCTCATCCTCTTTCGGATTCCACGTTTGTCCCAATGTGTACCTGGATCCGCAATGTATTTCAGCCCAGTGTAAGGTGCCCACTGACCCTCGTCTAGGAAAGGCTCGAAACGGGGAGACCAAGTCTGTACAAGGCTGTCAACACTGAACTCCCATGGTATCTGGGTCTCGTAGGCAAAGTTGCGATGCTGAGATGCTGCAACATAATGAGAACAAGGAAAGTGGTACTGCTTGGTTTTTCCCACATCTGCATGAGAAATTACTAAGTACCACAATATAACTCCTTGATGGCCGACCTCACCATCGGACGTTGTACCACCCCTTTCTGTGACGTGGTACTTGCTAGTGTTGTGGTCAAAGCAATCGACGTCATGTGTGGCAGCCCTTTCCTTTGCCTTGTCAAGATGCTTCTTAGGTTTAGGTGCCCATTTCTGATTATTACTCTGTAGTGCCATTGCTTGAGCGTGTCTCTCGTTAAACCATGCAACTAGCCTATAAAAGGTGAATGATACAATGGCATTGACGGACATGGCACGTATACCCTTGAGCACACTATTAAATGACTCTGCCATGTTGCTAGTCTGAAACTTGTACCTCCATCCACCATCGTTGTAGGCTCTTGTCCATTTCTCAGGTTCTCTCATCAATCCTCTCAGCCACTGCATAACTTCTGTGTTTGTTGCCGTTTTTAGCTGCTCCAACTTCTCCTCGAAGAATGGCACCTCAAGCATGCGAGCAACCTCCTCGAATAGAGGAAAGTTGTCCTTTGTACCATCCTTCTGAAGTAAATTCTCAGCGAGGTGCCGAGTGCACCAACGGTGGTTCAAAGGTGCATACCTCGGAATCTGCTCCTATACGGCACTGAGTATGCCCTAGTGTCTATCAGATATGACACCAACCTCCCTATGAGGGCCAATGACATGTATCCGAACAAGCTGCAAGAACCATCCCCAGCTATCTTTGTTCTCCCTCTCCACCAACTGATCTTTCAATTAGGGTTTTGAAACTGTTTCGGTTAGCATCATTCAGCAATTAATTAAATGTTAACATCTATCAAACTTAACAACAAATTACACAGTAACAAAGAGCAAGTATCACACCAAGCCATGGAACAAAAGTTACACAAGTTTTATTTATGAAAATTGACTCATTAAATCACCAAAGATTGAACTTAACACTGAAATTCAGGGACTTAGGCAAGAATGACTAAGTTTGAAAATCAGCCCCAAATCCAATCTTTGGGCTCCAAATTAAACATTTTTAACTTAGAAACTCAAACAGACTTTTGTTCTATATTAAAGAGCACACTTTAAACTATAAAGTTTATTTTAGCAAAATTTTAATTGTTTAGCCAAATTCACATATATAAATCACAAAGAACATTAAACACTATTATTGATATCATTTCATGAAACATGTAAAACACCATACATGCAACATAAAAATACTATAATTGAAACATGAAATGCATTTATGCCACAATGCTTATGCATGATGATGATCATAATCAAGGTTTTGATTGCTTTTTAACATCTAGGATATTACAGACTCTTATCAAACTCGTAAACCTTGTCCGATCCAGAGTATATATATACCTGAGAGCTCTACAATGTAACTATCAATTCTCCGAGTCATAGTCTGATGGTAGCTAATAACCATGATTGCCTCACGGTATGTAACTATCAATTTCTGGTAAAATGAACAATAGTTCTTCTACTTTGTTTCTCCGTGTTCTTCTACTTACATCTACTGACGGAAAAAAAGGTTCCTAACCGCTGCCACGTGTCTACACGTGCTCGTACGTCATGCATGTGAATTGGAGAGATCGGTTAGTCGGTTACTGCTCGGTCCAGAGACGACCTGGACCTTACTTACTTTTCGATCGGTGTAGGTACAACTTCTAGAATACGAATACGGACTTATTCCTAGCTAACCGCGTGGTTAGCTAGAGATATGTTACTCGTGCTGCTCACGGTCACGGTCACTTAGGAATACGGAGCGATCTAGAATACCAGTTGATTTGTAAACCAGTGCTTAATTATATTGGTGAATGAAGAACATGCATGAACGTCGATCGACGTATTATATATAATAATAGGGCCGGGGGCTAGCTGATAGGTAGGGTTAACTAAGTGGTTAAGACGCAGACAGTACGCGCGCATTATACTGCTAGTTACTACATACTCGAGTGCAAGTGATGATCGACATGCAGAGAGAGAGGGCAGCCGCCGCCGTCCTACTCGTGCTGCTGGCGGCGCTGGCTGCTGTTTCATCCACGAGCGGCGCCGGCGGCGGCGGCACGGTTATTAGGATGCAGCTGAGCCACGCCGACGCCGGCCGCGGCCTGACCCCAGGCGAGCTGCTGCAACGCATGGCGCTGCGCAGCAAGACCCGCGCCGCGCGGTTCCTCTCCGGCTCATCAGCGAGCGCCCCGGTGACACCAGGGTACCCCTCCACCAAGGAGTACCTGGTGCACTTGGGTATCGGCACGCCGTCGTCGCAGCCGGTGCAGCTTGTACTAGACACCGGCAGCGACCTCACATGGACGCAGTGCCTGCCTTGCAGCTCCGCCGCAGCCGCCTCGTCCTGCTTCCCCAGGCTCTGCCTTACTTCGACCCGTCCCTGTCCTCCACGTTCGTCAACCTCACTTGCGACTCGTCGGCGTGTCAGGACCTGCTGCCGTGGTCGTCGTGTGTCAACCAGACTTGCGCCTACAATAGCTACTCCTACGGCGACAACTCCACGACTAGCGGCAAACTGGTGGCAGACACGTTCGTGTTCCAGGGCGCCCAAGGCAGACGGCCGTGCCGAACCTGTCCTTCGGCTGCGGCCTCAACAACAGCGGCAGATCATTCACGCCCATCATGACTGGCATCGCCGGCTTCGGCCGCGGCAACCTGTCCCTTCCGTCGCAGCTCAAAGTCGACAACTTCTCCTACTGCTTCACCAACAACACGTCGACGTCCAGCCCCGTGCTGCTCGGCCTGCCGGCGAACCTCTCCGGCGGCGCAAGTAGTGGAGCCGCCGTGCAGACTACCCCGCTCAACACGACCTCAACTTTCTACTATTATCTGAATCTGAAGAGCATCACGGTGGGGTCAACGACGCTGCAGGTGCCGGAGTCCGCGTTCGCGTTGAACGCCGACGGGACCGGCGGGACGATCATCGACTCCGGCACCTCCATCACGTTGCTGCCGCCGCACGTTTTCAGCCTCCTAAGCGACGCCTTCGTCTCCGAGCTGAACATGACGCCCGTGGCCGTCACGGCCCAACCTGATCTTCTCTGCTTCCCGGCGTCGACGACGACGATGCCGAAGCTGCAGCTGCAGTTCGAGGGCGCGACGCTGGACCTGCCGCAGGGCAACTACGTGTTTCCTCAGGACAACAACACGTGCATTGTGATACTACAGTCGTCCGGCGGGAACAACATGACGATAATAGGCAACTATCAGCAGCAGAACCTGCACGTACTCTACGACCTCGCCGGCAACACGATCTCTTTCGTCCCTGCTCAGTGCGACAAGGTCTAAGACTACTCGATCTCGGCCGCCGCTCGTGCCGTGCCGTGCTGCTTCCGGGCCGGGTGTGCCCCTACGTACTATCGCTGTTGCATTCCCTCTGCCTTAATTTTCCCTTCACCTTTTACGTGAATATTATGTATAATATAACAATAATAAAGTCGTACTACTTGCTGATCCAGTACCACACGGTTTGTATTTGGTTTGTCTACAATATGTAACAAGTATGTACCACTGTATATATATACTACTACCAAACATGTCCGTGCATTACAGTTGGACAAAAAAAAATTATGTTAAGAATATTTTTTGCGATTACAAAGTACAACTCGAGCTCTTGTAACAAGTAGACTACATGCCCTTTACTCGTAAATATATATAATAACTTTAATTTTCATCATATTCATATGTTGCTACAGTTAAATATCAAGTTCCATGATTTTTTAGGACCGGTATGTCCGCTGATAATTATGATGGGAGATCTCTCTCGATTTTCCATGTGATGGTTCTTGTCAAGGATTTTTATTAAGAAAATTCTTTAACAAAAGAACCCGTGCAGGCTCAGTACCACCCCTCCGGAGTGGTCAGAGTTCGAGTCCTGAGGGACTCACGCTTTGTGGCATCACCGCAGCAGACCGGAGGAGAAAAAGAAAATCCTCGTCCCGCCCCACATCCAAATCACAGGTTTGTGGTCAGCTTATCTCACGGAGCTGCGGTGCCGCTGTGTAAGGGTAGGGCAGAGGTTCCGGAGTTTGTGAGAAGATCTTCTTCTTAAGCAGGAATACCGGGGGCTGTCTAGCCACCGCAGATCGAGTTTTTTTAACAAAAGAACAGTACCATAAATTAATAAATAAAATATGATTCTAGTATAAATGTAAAAGAACCCTAAGACATATTATATTATTATATATTATATATAAAAGAGAAGAGAGGGAAAGCAAATGAGACCTCCCTCTAAAATTAGAGACGTGTGCAAGAGGATCAGAGAAGAGAGAGAGAGAGGGAGCAAAGGGAGACCTCTCTCTAGAATTAGACACATGGGTGAGAGGAAGAAATTAGAAGAGAGAGCGGGGGGAGCAAAGCGAGATCTCCATCTAGAATTAGAGACGTGGATGAGAGAAGAGAAAGGGACGGAGAGAGGAAGAGCGCTTCCTATTGACTGAGAGAAAAGGAAGGGAGAGAGAGATCCATGTAAGGTTTCGGTTTAGGTATATTCATAGGATCGGGAGGTCTTGGTAGTAATAGTAGATGTTCGGGTTTCACAGAGAGAGAGAGGGGGGGTGATAGGTTGCAAACCATCGAATGCCGTAGTTGTTGAAGCTCCGGCCGGGGTTTCGTTGACGGACACCATCTGCGCGCCGGCAGCGACGGTCGGTGGAGAGGGAGTGGCGCTGTGGCGTCCTCGGCGGCGGCGTGAGCGTCGGGTGGCGTTGCCGGCGTCGGTGGTACTTCCCGTCGCTGGCAGCGCCCCTACTTTCGATCGGGTCTAGGGTTTGGATGTCGGTGGGGTGACTGGCGGCGCGGTGAACCTCGTACTGCGAGCCCCGGCCCCCACCTTTCCTTTATAGCGTTGTGCGACGGGGGCCCACCAACCATGTAGGGTTGGGCGCCCCCGATCAGGGCGCGAGGACAAGGACCAGTTAGGCCGTTGGGCCTAACTGGTGGGAGATCAATCCTAACATTCTCCCCCTTGATCTCTCATCTATTCTTCGTTCTTTAATTTCATACTCAAAACTTTCAATTCATATTTTTCTTGCTTCCATCCTATTTCATCACAGATTAGTGCATAGAACTGTCCCATCGTCACAGTAATTAGTGCTGTTAGACTAACAGCCACAATACACTTCTCTGTTTTGAAATGTAAACTTTCTTTGGGCCCTTCGTATGTTCGGGAATCATAGGCTTTCCCTTAAACCCATGCCGGCTACGTGTTCTCTGAACACGTTGGGTGTTAAGCCCTTTGTGAGCGGATCCGCGAGCATTTTCTCTGTATTTATATGCTCAAGATTTATTATATGATCCCGAACTTTATCTTTCACAACATAGTACTTTATGTCAATGTGTTTGGCAGCACCACTTGACCTATTGTTGTGAGCATATTGTACCGCTGGGTTGTTATCACAATACAACCTCAGTGGTTCTTTTATATTATCAATCACTTTCAATCTGGGTATGAATTTCTTCAGCCAATTCACCTGCCTCGTTGCCTCATAGCATGCTACAAACTCGGCATATATTGTCGAGGATGTAGTTACGGTTTGTTTGGAGCTTTTCCACGATATAGCCCCTCCTGCGAGAGTAAATACATATCCTGACGTGGATTTTCTTTCATCTCCCGCATAATCAGAATCTGAATACCCCTCTATCTGCAGGGAATTAGATCTTCTATATGTAAGCATGAGGCCTTTCGTACCCTGCAAATAACGCAGGACTTTCTTCACTAATTTCCAATGTTCAATTTCTGGATTCTTTTGATATCTGCCAAGTAACCCGGTAACAAAAGCTAAGTCAGGGCGTGTACACACTTGAGCATATTGTAAACTTCCAACAGCTGAATCATACGGTACCGCTTTCATTCGGTCAATTTCATATTGGTTCTTGGGACATTGATGTCCTCCAAATCTATCGCCCTTGACTATAGGAGCAGGTGAAGGACTGCACGCATGCATACTAAATTTCTTCAGGACCTTTTCTATGTATGCCTTTTGCGATAATCCTAGAACCCCTTTTCTCCTGTCTCGGTGAATCTCTATTCCCAAAACAAACGAGGCCTCACCGAGATTTTTCATATCAAAGTTTGAGGACAAGAATTTCTTCGTTTCCATTAGCAGATTGATATCACTACTAGCAAGCAAGATATCATCCACATACAAAATTAGGAATATGTACTTTCCATTCCTGAACTTTGCATAAACGCAATTGTCAACATTTTCTTCAAACCCAAAACCTTTTATCGTTCTATCAAACTTCAAATACCACTGTCTTGAAGCTTGCTTCAATCCGTAGATTGATTTCTTCAGGCGGCATCCCATATTTTCCTTTCCTTTTACGACAAAACCTTTCAGTTGTGCCATATAAACATTTTCTTCCAAATCCCCGTTTAGGAAAGCTGTCTTTACATCCATTTGATGTAACTCCAAATCATAGTGGGCTACAAGTGCCATTATAATTCTGAAGGAATCTTTACATGAGACTGGAGAAAACGTCACATTGTAATCAATCCTTTCTCTTTGCGTGAAGCCTTTCGCCACAAGTCACGCTTTAAATCTTTCTATATTCCCTTGGGAGTCATATTTCGTTTTGTAGACCCATTTACAGCCTACTGTTTTGGCTCCTTTAGGAATATTTTCTAGGTCCCAAACTTTATTGGTACTCATTGATTTCAATTCATCTTCCATGGCCTTAAGCCACTTTGATGAGTGGTCGCTTCTCATGGCTTCTTCAAATGAGGTGGAATCATCCCCCATCTGACATTCTTCTGTTTCATAAACTTCATAGCCATCAGTAATAGCTGATCGTCTTATTCTTTGAGACCTTCTAGGTGCCTCCGGCACTTGTTCCACATTGGGCTGTTGTTGTTTTTCCTCATGTGCAACATTTGGTTCTATAGTTTCCTCAAGGATAGGTTCCTCAAGGATAGGTTCCTCATGTTCATTCATTGTCGCCACGGGAGAACTTGCAACAGGTGTTGGCACTACAAAGTTGTCTCCTTTACCGATTGCTTGCAATGCAAAGCAGCAGTAGCGTGAAGAATGGTTCTTCAACCATCGGAGTGGGTACATGTACCCGCTTCTCCTGTAGGCTGATTTCTCATGCTACCATGCTTCCCCTGATCATGTTGTCCTCCAAGAACACAGCGTGTCTTGTTTCTACAATCTTCGTATGTCTGTCAGGACAATAGAAGCGATATCCCTTCAATCTTTCTGGATAGCCAATAAAATGGCAGCTGACTGTCTTGGAGTCTAACTTTCCTATGTTTGGGTTAAACACTTTTGCCTCAGCTGGACAGCCCCACACACGCAAATGGTTAAGTGAGGGTTTCATTCCTGTCCATAATTCATACGGTGTTTTAGGGCACCAATTTACTTGGTACTCGATTAAGTATGTGAATGGCGGTTTTCAATTGCCTCCATCCATAAACTAATCGGTAATGTGGAGTAACTCATCATGCTTCTTACCATATCCATTAAGGTACGCAGTTCGTCTTTCACCCACTCCATTCTCACTGAGGCTCCCCGGTGTGGAGTACTAAGCAACTATGCCATTTTTCTCTAGGAACCTTGCGAATGGTCCAGAATTTGGCCATATGGGTATATGTATAGCCCATAGTACTCTCCACCTCGGTCTGATCGTACTATCTTGATTTTCTTATTGTGCTGATTTTCAACTTCAACTTTAAATATTTTGAATTTATCCAATGTTTCCGATCTTTCTTTAATTGGATAAATATTGCCATAACGAGAGTAGTCGTCTGTGAATGTTATAAACGAGTCATAACCATCCACACTTTTCACAGGAAAAGGACCACATATATCTGTGTGGATTATTTCTAAAATTTCTATGCTTCGTTTGGCATCTTTCTTAATTTTCTTGACATACTTTCCTTTGATGCAATCAATACATTGCTCTAAATCTGAAAATTCTAAGTGCGGGAGAATTGATTCCTTAACCAATCGTTCCATTCTCCCCCTCGAAATATGGCCCAAGCGACAATGTCATAATTTCGAAGAGACAGTATCAATTCTCTTTCGCTTCTTAGTTACATCCGTAGATGGGGAATCATTCACATTCTCATCACATACATTGTTCGCATTCTCAGCAAGAGATAATAAATAAAGCTTGTCTTGTCGGAAGGCAAGACCAACACATTTATTATTAACCAGTATCTTACACTTGCCATCACCAAAATGGCAATCAATTCCATCATCATCAAGTTTCGAAACACTTATCAAATTTCTACGCAAAGAGGGAACATAAAGTACTTCTTTAAGTCTAAGTACAAAATCATTATT